TGTATGTATAATATGTACCGTATGTATATGTGTGTGTATAAAAAAAGCGCCTTTTGTATTGATAAGTTATTTTGATGGAATGGCCGATATCTGATATTTAACTTTAATGCAAATATTGGCCGATATCATGCCCATAATATTGTGCATCCCTACAATTTTCTATATGACTTCGTTAAGCTCAGGTACTTTACACAAACTAAAATAACTTAAGGAAAAGTTTCCCAAGTCCTTACAACAAGAAAAATAAAAAAATCACTTAGAAGTTTCTGGATGTTTTGGGTCTGATAAGCCCCATGGCTCCTCTAACTGGCAGTTCTTTGTGTGTGTGGGGGGTCAGCTGGCCTTTTCATCTCTGCTGCTGCCTTCTCTGTCTCACCCTGCACAACAACAAGCTAAAAGGATGACCCAGTAGGGAAAAGGTCACTCAGACTCCAGCGCTTTTAGAAGCAGAATGCACACACATTTTATAGAGGTGCACATGGAAAAGCATTTATTGAACAAAAAAACAACAAAAAAAATCTCTAGATTTAGTAATAAGGAGAAACAATCCTATTTTTATACTTTGTCCTTGAACTTACGGACTTCTCTCTCTTGCTAGTGCTGGTCAACACTTTTGTTTGGATGCTTTTTAGGATGATGTCAATGGAAAACAGTGGGAGGGTGTGGTGGGCTATTGAGGCTTTAGCATGGCTTTTGGAGTCTCACTAGCTGACTGTGATACCTCCCTGGAGAGGGTCTCCTTACCATCATTATGCCATTAAAAATCTATTATCGCTGCAGCGGTTCTGCTCATATGGATTCTTTAACCAATTAAGCACTTTAATGGAGGGCAAAATGCTTGTTATAGAAGATGGCCATTCACTTGCCCAGCTTCCTGCAACATTTGCATTGATGAGGTTGAACTGATGCCCAGGTTCGAAGGAATTTAAATATTTTTCATTGCACATTTTAAGCTGGAGCGGTATCTAAAGATTGGGTTTAGAAATTTTAATTTAATTTCAAATGTCGATCCTTCTAGTGTAATTATTGTGCTCTTGGTAAGAGCAGCTTTCCCTTGTTCTTAGCCGATCCTCCAGTACCACCCCTATCGCTTCTTTGCACTTGCACCCTCCGTAAGATGTCATGAAAGATTATCCTCTTGGTCCGGGCGATGCTCTAAGGTTTCAAAACGAAATGTTAATTTCCCAGACTGGAGGTGGTGTGCTATAAATAGCCTTAAACACAAGCATGCTGTGTAGTGTTCTTGGATCAAATAGGGAGCGGCTCTGCTAAGGTTTTGAGTTATTTGGAATGGAAAAGGTCACCACTTTGCAAACAACACAGTTGCTGTAGCAGGAAAGTTGCACAGAGTGCTGTTGCCACACTTTGCTGTAGGATCAACAGATCTGAATGACGTGTATAATTGTGTGTTTTTAAATGTGCATGTGAAGATGTGGACATTCAGGGATTCATTAGTTCTTCAGAGATTAACATTAGTGATTGATGTTCAATAAGAAAATCAGGACGGTGCAGAAAAATATGAAGGTGTGACACGTCTCATATGACGGAGCGGGATTATCACTCTGTGTTGAAGAGAAAAAGGTTGACTACAAGTAGAGATGTCAATAATGAAGTCAAGGTTCTTTTTTTTTTCATTCACATCACATGTGGTACAAGAGGTGGAACGAAATTGTGTACACAGGGTCCCAGTTATATCCAACAATAGCAAAAATATAAAGTGTAAAAAGAAACAGTAAATAAGGATCTGAGACATAAACTAAGATACCGGTATACGCTAAACGAACACCCAATGGTACGCTAAAAGAGCTAAGATATACGCTCATCTCTAATGGTGCAAAACAATACACTGAACAACAGCAGCATGATTCTCATTAGTTCTGTTCGGCTATAATTCGCACACTTAATGCGAGCGGAGTCGGGCTCAGAGCCAATCCCAAAACTAACGTAAACTGGGATTTATTCCAAGCATGCAACAAAATTACAGAAACAAGGCGCCAAAAGTGAAAAAGGAATAAATCTACAGCAGCATGGTCCTTTTAGCAGAGTGGTTGTAATGACAGTGAGGTTATCTTAGCAACATGCTCCAGTTAGCAGCATGATACTGTTAGCAGTGAGGTTTCTCTTAGCAACATGGTTCTGTTGGCACCATGGGACTGTTAGCCTTGTGGCTCAGTTAGCGGCATGGTCTTGTTAGCAGCGTTAACGGGTCTTGTTAGCAGATCCCGTCAGCAACATGGTGATAACAAGGACTGCAGCAGCTGCCCTCCCAGACTGCACCTCCAAAACAGGGTCCGGCAGACAGAGAACATCCAAGGTTTCCCTGCAGAACTGAACGGGTCCGTAGACTTTGGTCCATAGAGGCAGATGGAGGCAGCTGCCATGACAGGCCTGAGCCCGAGGCTGGAAGGACTGAATCACGATGGCAAGGCAGCGACACAGAAAACTCCACAAGTGTCATACCCGTACTGTGGATGTGCATTGTAGGTGCAAAAACCCCAACATTAAAACAAGTTAAAGCAACATCAACATAAAAAGATCAAGTTCACCAGGAGCCTGTGAAGCTACCACTCTTCTGAGCGCGGCCATCTTGGCTCCTTGAAAACATCTTGGCTTAATAATCCTTCAGTTATATTAAACATCCTCATGGAACTATAGAAGTGGTATTTCTAATTGTTTTGCACAGTTTAGATTGAATTTAATAATGTTTTCTTGTCACACCAG